TGGAATTCCGCAAGAATGCTGTGGATCCGACAAAGAATTTCTCCAGAACTCTCAGAAGACACTATTCCCCCACCCAGGATAGTTAGTCGGGATACATATTTGGAAAAGATTGGGGCAGTTAGTCGCAATGCTGGAGTCGATGCCTTCTCCGATTGGTTCTTTCTGCAATCAATATTGGACTTCACTGTTTTCTCCGATGGTGCGTTAATCGAGGGCCGAGCAGGAGCAGGATATTCGATAAGACGTGGCGCGGTACACGAGATAGCCTGTGGAACTATACCTCTAGGTACCTCAGCAGTAGTTTACGATGCGGAAATTACTGGAGCTACTGAGGGGCTAGCGGCTGCCATCCGCAATCCCATGGCATTTTATGCAACCAACGTTACTGTCTGCCTAGACAACCAAGAAACGGCTCTACGGCTGCTCCTGCTACCCCCACTGCAACAAGTTCCCGTCAAATTACGAAATTCCGGAAACTCGCTGCCAGCTGGTCTGAAAGGAAACGCGCATCCTGCACTAGGGCTGGAACAGTCAGTGTCCGATGATGCCCTGGATATTCTGGAATCCCCGGAAACGAAGCAGCAGACTCTCTAGCCAAGTCAGCATGTCTAATGCCTACATAGTCTCTCCCTCTGTCCATAGCAAGGGCAAAAGGGAAGGTGGCTCAACTCTACAAGGCCTCCAGCGACGCCTTCTGGGAACGAGAGGCTCCGGCTAGATATAAAGAACTCGGAATTGGTCCTAGTTCAGGAATAACCCCAGAACTAAAAAGCTTAATTCGGCTGACATTTGGGGCGCTCATCGCAGCTCGCTCCGGACACGGAGATTTCGCCCCATATCATCGACGTTTCGCACACGAAGATGCCCTAATGACTTGCTCCTGTGGCGAAGAAAAAAGCCCTGATCATTTCTTCTTCTGCAGTATAGGAAGAAACCGTGTCCGCCTTCGCGGTGGACCTCGTCATCTTTGCCCCGGCATCAAATGGGTACTCGGCACGCCTGAAGGTGCCCTCGCCTTCGGAAAATGGGTCGAGCTGACGAAGTTCTTCGACGAAATCCAAAGAGCCCACATGATATTTCCAAGTGAAATTTTACGATCGGGTGTAGGGTTAATGTTAGATGGAAATATGTATCCCTATTTTCCTGTCCTGCAGGTGTAATTTTAAACTACTTGTAAAAAATAAAAAGTGAAGTTCCCGGTAAAGGGAAATTTGCTACATTTAAATTGGAAATCAGAGTGGCGGACAGCTGGTCATACTCTTTTGTAATTTCTAGGTGTTGTAGTGTGCGCTAGAGCGTCGAGTAGTTCTGTAGGGACTGGGCTGTCCAGCACATGACAGTAGTCACGAGCTGTGGACATGCACGACGTTAAATTCAATCAAATCAAATAAAATCAATAAGTAAATAAAATACCTAAATGAATACGCTCTACATTCTCAATGATTGAGGGGTCATTATTTTTAAATAAAAATTATGGATTGATGCTTCGCGTCAAGTATACGCGTTAGAATTTGGGGATATTAATTCATAATTTGCCATCCGAACAAAGTTTGACCACGAAGTGCTCTCTTCTTATTTAGATATTTATAATACCCAGCTATTGAAAACAGGGAGTACAAAGATTCGTCGGGGGATGACTATTGGCAGCCATTGCTGGGAGATTTTTTTTTTTTTATTATATTAAAGTCCTAAGCTAAGGCTCTAGGTCCACTATCGGTACAAGACTGGTGGAGCCGGCGGGGATCACTGCTTACAGGCCCAACTCATTCCAACCGCGTGACCCGCTACAGAAAAAGTAGCAGATAAATTATAACTCAGAAACTGTAATCAAAAACTAAAATCAAAACTAAAAGCCAAAGACTGAAATCAGATTTACAAGATTTTTCATGTGGTCCGGATCCCGCGCTTCTCGCCCGTTCCCTTTCCTGCCACATCTTCCAAATGACAAATTTACTCAATCTCCGCTGAGAGCAAGAGATGAGATAGCAGGCACTTTTTATCCAGCCGGTATCCTGCTATTGGTTAGTATATGCCCCAAAAGGGACATCGTCGAGGTTGCTGTGTCCTCAAACTTCTTCTTCAAATTCCAGAACTCCGAAACCTGTAGCCTCGGCCATCGAGACGTCCTTTGCAGCGGCGGTGATTGCCTCTTCGGCCTTCTTTGCTGTTGCTCGTGCTCGTGCCACCTTCGCGAACTCCCCTTGTTCGATGTGGCGGATCCACGCGAGCTGCTCTTTGGTCACCGGTCCAGACTTTCTGGGTCTGACTTTGCAGTCCTGGGAATCCGATCGGTGGGGTCCCCCACAGTTGCGACATTTTGTGAGGGCCTTGCACTCGGCTTCCGAGTGCATGTTTGATCCGCAGTTCCAGCACGCTGGGGCGCGGGAGCAACCACGGGTGGCGTGGAAGCCCAAACAGCGTTTGCACTGTTCAATTTGGCGACGAGGCTGGATCTTTGTAGCCGCTCCGGACTCGTCGAGAATTCGGAAGCCCGCACGAGGGGCGGAGTCCCGGTTGAAAAGGGCATACCAGTTTCTGTATGGCGCTCCAGGACGACATGTCCCTTGCGGTCGCACCTGGCATGGACGTCGTTGTGTTTTGCGGTAAATCTCCAGTGAGATCCTACCGGCATCGACCGTCTCAATACGGTTGATTAATTTTATAGTCGCTGGAACATTCGCGATCCGAAAGGCGACAAGGTTGGAGGCTTCCTCGATTTTGGCATTGAAGTCCGACAACTTCGGTGAGGCATCTAAGAGCTCTTCCCTTTCATTTTCATCCGCTGTCAGAATCGCAAATCCGGTTCTGACACGGTGTATAGAGCTTTTTTCACTCAAGGTGTACAGTAGCCTACAACATAATTGATGCCGTATGCCGTCAGGCGAAAGCTGGCGCCATGGGTGATCGCTCTCTAAGCGAAGGAACAGTCGTTTGTCGACTTTAGCCTTCGGAGCTTCTTTATTTTGGGCTTTTGCCGCAGGTCGCGGAACAGCCTTTACAGTTGGGACTGCTTTTTGTTGCAGTCCATTTCTGGCCACCGTGGCCCAGGTGCTTTTTATAGGCAGCGCTGGGACGGCGGAAATCGTTGTGCTCCTGACGTCGGGAGCCCTTGGGATCGGGTTCGCCGGGCGAGGAGGGAGGACGGGTGGCGTGGAGGCCGGGCCCGTGGCCATGTATTGCGCGATGGCTGCGCGTAGGTAGACTCTCATCGAGTCTACAAATTGTCTGTTTGACCCGTTGGTCAAAGGAAGAAGGGTGACTTCGACGCCAGAGATGGCGGCGGAGCAGAGGGCCAGATTTGCCGCTGTTTCGGCGGCACGTCGTTGCTCGGCTTCGATAATGGGTCGAAGTTCCGGAGGGCAATCTGCTTTCGTGGCAGCTTTGGGCTGCGACGTTGATTTTGACGCTGCTTTGGGTGCAGCGTTCTCCGACAGTTTTGGCGCGGTCGGGGGAGATTTTGACGATTCTCCAGTCCCGTGAGGGACGGAGGATGGTTGAGGAATTTCCTCAATAATTTTGACTGACCCGATCATATCAGTATCGGGCTCAGTGACGGTGGGGAGGGCTTTTTCCTTCCCTTTGGTAGAGACGTTGCTCATCTCCGCGCATTTCGGAGACTGGACAAGGCCAGGTAATTGTTCGAGAGCCCTCGGGTGGACTCTCGTGTCGTCCAACTTGACGTTGGGGCGCTTTTTGCGAACTGGAGGCATGGTGAAATGCCTGAGCTCGATCACAATTCAGAGATAGATGCGACGAGGTCGAGAAGGGAGGAAAGAGGGAAAAAATGAATTTTCGAATTTTCGAATTTCTCGAATTGATGAAGGGTTTGGTTGTTGAGATTTCTATTATTTCTGTGTTGGGATACACTTTGTCGATCCTACTTTGCTCGATAATAAGTAGTCTCGGCCGACTGGTGTTTGGCGAACGGAGATTGCGTATACCCTATGTTAGAGTTGTTCACTGCTGTGAATAGGAGATCCCGCACGGGCTATCTATTGGGATTAAAAGAAGTCTAGTACCTGCGTTTAGAATAGTAGTCAAATTGACATCCTTTTATCCTTCATTATTGTATAAGGTTCCCTCTACCAGCAAGTCCACGAATTAAGTAGAGAGTTAAATATTTTAATACCGGTTCACAATTAGATTTCGTCAATTGTTAAAATTAGTGCCTCTATCAGTTACACTTTCTTGGCTTGCCTTTTTGCCTACTAATATTGCTACTATCCTAATAGTGATTCCTATGATCATTCTGGCCTGCTTAGGTTTGGACGTTTGGATTTATCCTAGTCGAGTATTTAACGGTTTCAACAGAATGCCAATGCTGCGTGGTCTAGAGTAACACTGATTGATTTAAAAAACAGTCATCTATTACAGCGACAAAAAATCAGTACTTATCATTGGATTTAAACATCAATTTCACTACTAATCAATATTTACATTGCGAAAGATAGCTGACAAACAGCTTCACGTTTGTTAACTTATTTGGCTTAAAGCGGCACGAATATTTCTGTTGATCAAGAATATCAGAATTGAAAAGAACCAATATTATTCTAAAAAATATTTAGAAGATTCTCAAATGTCGGAGCACTTGCTCCGGTAGGCCTAAGCTTGGGATTCATGCTTTAGTCACACAAGTGGACTCAGGTTTTATCAACGCTTCAAGGGCGTCCTTACATAGAGATCTATATACATGTACATACACCTCAATCAGTCACCACTTCTGCATTAGCAAACCCATTTTCATTACCTGTGATATCATACAGATTGACCCTGTCATACTAACATCAAGTATTCACTTGACTTGAAGATCGAAATGTTATCGATTTTAAATAAGCTTCTTCGCATTTTTAATGAAGGCCCAATCTTAGCTTCGTACGTTGCAACGTTGATTTCTAGTCTGTCTTCTTCTGCAATCTCAAATGCATTGTGAAATAGGGTTGCTTTCTGTATATTTATGGCGATTCTTTGAACAATAATGTTTGTGGATCTTCGAGCAGCCTTTAGCTAACTTCTGGCAGTCGAACAGCAATATCACCGGATTGTGTAATGTATCGAACCCATGGAAGCGAGGGATACTGAAGCTGGGAGATGAGTTAGTACAGAAAGATACAGCTAAGTTTTTGGAGTAATGATTACCTTTGGCTCGATAATCTTCAAGTACCGTACTTGAATCCCGCTGGTAGTGAAGTAAGGAATCTCAAACTTAACGCCAATTGGTCGTTTTGCACCTTTTCCTCCCACCCCACCCATACTTCCTCCAAAACCACCCGTCATGCCACCACCATGCTCATCATCACCCTTCACACTTGGTAAGCCCAATTCCGCCCTCATCAAAAATTCTTTATTACCGCCAAATTGCTTTATTTTCCACACAATAGCACTTTTTTCTGGGGCATAGTGAACACTGCCTATGTTCGTGCGAAATCGTGGGCTATCGGCGTCTTCTGGTACAGGCACTAAAATTTCCACGTTGTTTGCTGTACTTCGTCGTTTGAATTGCGCTTTAGCTTTAAGCATGTATTCGATCCTACTGCCAGAATGAGACTCTACAATACACTCGACCCATATTAGGGGCTTTACTTGAGTGTTAAGACGGTATGACATGAGCTCAAACTCGCCATCAGGAGGGATAAACGATATTGTACGATCATTTTCGAAGCGGGACAGCCGTACACACTGATGAAACTTGACATCCTCCATTTCGATTGCTTTCCCTCGCGTTGCCCGGCCTGTTGTTTCGAACATAACTTTGTCATTTAGACCCAGCCTTAATTCAGGCATTCCAGATAGATAGCATTTCATTTTAATGGCACCTAGAATTTCTGAGCGTAGCACGTTACCATTAGATGAAACGAGAAGATTTAGTGACTCCACCACGTCTAGAAAGACTTCATTTTTTCTATACCGAATTCCTTCCGATCGCCATGAAACAGCATTAGTTACCGCTATAGGTGGTCGTGCTTGTATTTCTAGTTTGTGTGATTCTTGTGTGATGTATTCCTGCAGGATCTTTGATTCGGTAGTTTGAGGATACCCAAAATCCATCATTTCATCCAAGAGCTCATAGATGATGACAAAATTGTCTCTAATGGATTCTTCTTCTAGTTCCTTGAAGTACTCCGTAAATACTTCGACAATTTTGTGCAGAAAGAGGAGAATTTCCGCAGCGTTTGTATTGCGCTTGGTGAGCGCAAGTAGATAAAGATTGCTGTGTCGAATATACAAGTACTATCGGGTATCAGAAATTTTCTGATTCCATGGAGAGAGGTGGCATACATTGATGCCTTCGTCAGAGAAACAGGGTGGGACGGCAGAACTCTCTTCTTCGGCTTCACTCAAAAGAATAGGAAACTTCTCGACGGCAGACATGGGTATATCTCCTCTATAATTCCTGGCCAATAGTGTCTCAAGCAACCAGCAAAGTTAGACTCGTTGATACAGGAGCAGAAAGCTTTGGCATACCTTGCCTTTCAAATCTAGAAAAAAAATGGCGGAGGCCATAGTGGGCAAGATCAATCGGCTCTGAGGCCAGTGGTAGTTAATACCTTGTTTCGAGAACCGGAGTTTTATTCCAATATACACAACGTTTTGAGGCTAGATGTATCGAATCACATCAGGACAGCCCGCTTGAAGGCAAGCCGATAGGTCTGTGCCAGATTGGTCTTTGCTCGATACTAGCCGCGGGGCTTGGCACTAGTTAAACCATATTAGGACTAGCTAGAGTACGGACCCTATATATAGTCGAGGCTCCTTCTCCCACCACCCTTTCCACATAAGACGCCCTCTATTAGACAGTACTGCTCGATATCCACATGCGTATAACTTGTCTGACATACTGTCAGTACACAAATTACGTACCATGGTCGAAGCTAGTGATTTTGAGGTGCGAAGATAGAAACAGGCACCATAAGAACTGGCCAAGCATTGCGGAAGCAAAAAAGTTGCTAAGACGGTGTCAGAGGTTCCATACAATCACGCAGATGGAGTAAATGCTGTAATACAGATTAAGCTTAAAGATTTGAATCTAGTTTATCAAAAATCGATTGAGTTGCGAAAATAGTGAAGTAAGTCCTACATGTTAATCATGAAAGCGAGGTATTGAGACCGTCTATCAACGGAGGTTATGAGAATGACATGTGGCCAGCCGGTAATAAAAAGCCTTGTTTAGTATGCACAAATCAATTTCATTAATTTACCCGTGCATAATTTAAGGATCAAGGCATGTGACGTATTGATATGGCCTGGTGCCAACAATGCATACTCTGCCAACCTGACCACCCGCTCTGGTGGACCTAGCCTGTTACTAGAACAGTCAAGTGCCTTACAGATGCAGTCACCTCCGAGTACACTCCACGCTACTAAGTTGTACCCATTAACTTGTCACCAGATTCCAATTATTCGGCGATCGCCACACGAGAGGCAGCCCTCGCGTGCCGTCGAAGTTCGTGACGCTCAGTCTTACATTGTCAATCCCAAACACGGTGCTCCTATAACTGGTCAAGTTCTAATTGATGCGTTGATTTCCGATTAGAACTGAAATATCATAACAATTTTCCTAGATTATGAGCACGATGCACCACGTTGCTTTTCAGAAGAAGGCAACACAGGCACATTGCTTTAATTATGCAACATCCTCATTCAGCCCAGCCCAATCTTCTAAGTCCAATTCCCTCGCCATAGCTGACCTGCTTCAACATGATCCCGCTCTACATCAACTATCTCTCTCTCATGAAAAGTCTCCAAGTTTAAAAGAGCACTATACACAATCATCAATAAATAGTGTGCCGCTCACAAGTTGTGTAGACAGTTTTCACTCTAATCTAAGCTCTGTGTCTACCGTTCAAAACGCAACAACCACTAAATACACAGACTCTTTTGAAAACAAAGAGCTTTCAGGTCCAAGTTTAAATTCAATGGATGACCCTGACGTGCGGCTTGCGGCTGAAGCTCTAGAAGACTTGAGAGCAGGTATGAAATTAATCGATCGGAGCGGCCCAAACTCTACTGATCGGTTCTGAAAGACTTCATAGGATCTCCAGCACAAAAAAATAGAACGCCATCTCTACTTCTACCAAAAATAGCGGCTCAAAATAATCATCAACCCGAACCCTTGCTGTCTCTTCTGACAACTTCTCATCCCTTTATCAGGAACGCTATCGGTGGATCTATATCAGCTTACTCCGCATCCAAGAATTATAGCCCCAGAATTAAATCAAGCGTTGAATATGTCGAGAGAAGATTTACACCTGTCGTTAATACTGTCGGCTCAGTCGGACGTTTAACAGGGGTTGAAGACGGAGTACGCTGGATACTTGGAGCTAGAAAAGAAGGCTACGAGCTCCCTGCAATTGTCGAGAAAGATGATGAAAGCCCGTACAAGCGTAGGAAACTACACGAAGAAGTAGGAAGCGGTACAAATTCTAGGCGTGATTTAGATTCTAATCACAGGCAAGATAACAAACTCTGGCGCGAGTCAAAAAAAAGCTCAAATATTGAAACATCACCTACACCCTGTGAACTACAAAGTCCTGGACATGGAGTGCGTCAATCTTCAGTGACTGATGATTCGCAAAAAATTTCTAGTACAACTGAAAACTCGTGGCCGACAAGATTAGCATTATCTACAAGTGGTCTAAGTGTCGCAATGAGTGAGGAATCACTTCGTAGCTTGAAATATTGTTTGAGTTGGTTAAGATGGGCTAACGAACATATCGGGAAGATGGTTTTGGCGTTAAAATCGGCATTAGAGCAGTATGACGGGAAAAAGGATTCAGATATTTCACGACACAAGGCTGAGGGAAGCTTGGGCAGTAATTTTGATGCTGAGCGTCGCGTCCTGTGCGGCACAATAACGGAACTTAAAAACGATGTTCTAAAAACGCTAAAAGAGATGGTTGACATAGTGTCTAAATACGCCGGTGGCGCATTACCCGAGAATGCGCGGACACTTGTGCGTCGTCATCTGACAAGTTTGCCACAAAGGTTCCGTATGGCGAGCAATAAGCCTTCGGAAGGAATCAAGAATGATCATAACTCAGAAAACAATTGTGTTGATGGCGGGCGACGGGTATTGGTTTTAGCGAAAGAGGGCTTGGATATGATGGGACAGGTATCGGGGGTTCTCGGTGGTACAATAATGAGTGCTGAAAATTGGTGTGAGCGCTTTGGTCGCTCTAAAAGCGAAATTCGAGAGAGTGGACCTAATGAATCACTCAAGGACCATGCTTAAAAGCCATACCGAGGACCGCATGGCACACATGTTGATTCTTTATTCGGAATTGAAGAGTCATAAAGGGAATCATGAGATAATTATAAACTTAAAACGAGTCATCTAGACACTGAAGTGTTTTTCATCGGACCGTTTATTTATAAACAAGGATCGAAATCGAAGGATGGTTTTATGACCAGAAATATTTCGGCTTTGTATAATTGTAACATATCTTGGGAAAGACCATGTAGCAGCTTTTGGGGACTAATCAAAGATGATAGGAATTACTCATCCATCGTATTTCTCTCAATGAATTCAGGATCTGCTCACCAAGTTCATACTTGCATGGTGAGAGTGATGACCATAGCTTTATAGGCAGGGATAAATAGGGCATTATTAGGCTACACGCCATCCTGTAGATATAGGCTGGATAAAAGCCCAACGTTTTTGATTAGAAATAGCTTAGCTTCATGTTGGATTAGTCCCTAATAAGACACACCTACTCTGTTGGATTGGATTTAATTATGTAATTTAGCGTTTCAAGCTAAGCCACAACCTCGGAGGTCTCATTACTACTTCAGAAGCTAGCTATGAATATGAAAATTTATTCGTGATGGGCACAAGCCCTGTACTCAAAGAGCATGACACGGAGAAGACTAGCATCTCCGGCGACTATATATGACGATAACTCAGTTTGACATTTGGACTACTCATACAGTTGGCGCATTCGCTGATACCACTCGAGATCCTGGTGCTAGGGACTTTCGCCCGTCCCTCAACCGTTAATATCCACCAAAGGGAAAACATGAAAACCCTTTGGCTACCCTAACATGCCTTTGCCATCTTGTATATAGCCGCCGCGCGAGATATGGCCTCACAGTCCTCCCTTTCTCGAGTGAGGTAGCTGTCCAGGCTACCCAGACTTTAATTCAGGGAGATGACGACCAGGAGGCGGACCAAAACACCTTCCATCGTTGCCTGTTTTTAGAGTGTCGGTTGCACTATCCGAAATCGTTGCCTCTGCGCCTATAGGTACCCTTAGGTCGAAAAATCCTCGAGTAAAGTGCGCCCCAGCATGCCAATTTGTGATCTCTTCACTCGTTCGTCCCACGTCCCAGCTGCCTGTTCTCCCTCAAGAAGTGAAGCCCCATCAGAGCAACGGTTCCCCATAGACCATGACCCGAGCTTTGTAGATTATGACTTAATTTCCTCCTCGCGGGTTTACATAGCATCGTAATTTTAAAGTGGGAGATGGCCTGTTATTAATGAGGCAAATGCCCGATTGCAATTGGAGTAACACCATTATCAGTATTTGAGGCGAGGTGGTAAAGTAAGATTGAGGTGGAGGACTGGCTTGAGAATTATAGGACCGAAATTGACGAGAAGTCGTCGACTTTAGATATGCTTGAGGTTGCTTTCGACTTCGATTCGGATACGATTCTTCTTGGCTATCCCAGATAGGCAGAGCATACTGAGCCATTACATCGGCACCACTGGAAGGTGAAGAATTCGTCTTTGCCGGCTCAGAAGCTAGCTATGTTCGGCCATAAGTTTACTTGATTTAAAAAAGGGAGATATTTGCCTCGCAAAAGACAATGAGCCGGCTTAGATAACGCTTAACAGGCCAAACCAGGGCGATGACCCTCTAAACTCCAACACTACTGAGAGATCCTGGACTCAGGTAGTGAAGATAAAGGCAAAACCCGCAAACTGAGCGACGACAATACCACTACCAGCCAATAGATCCTATTCAGGAGCAACAGGGCCTACACGAACTCCAAGACTAAATGCCTCAGCTCTAAACACGCGCTCGACTGGTCGAGCGCGTGTTCCTGCGGTTTAAGCCAGACCATCCGCGGAGACGCATTTCTCCTCATTACATCTAAATTAGCCTTGCAAGCAAGCTGCGCCTGGCTAATTCTGAAATCAAACAGGTTACCGTCATCAACTCAGAGTTTGCAATGCAAGCTGAAGGAGATTATCTGGAAGCGCGCTCATCTCGGGCGCCGTACTCCTGGAGAGTACGGAAATCAAACTTGAAGCAGCTTCCAACTGGACTCGGTACTGGTACCGAAAATATCAGACAGACTCTATACACTAAAAGGGCCTATACTAGTAACACCAGAAATGTTGATAGAAGAAGCGGCCCTAAATACGAGCGTTATACCAACTTCGGCTTGTGCCTTCGCTTCCGGCGTGGCCAGGCTATCAACTAACTGGGTGCTGCACTTTGCAACCGGAAAACCAAAGCTAGGTGAATGACTGTTTGAAGAAAGCGGCCGGCTCCACGAACTACAACGTAGGCCAAAAAAGCTCAGCGCAACTGGTGCTGGGGAGATCATCCCACAAATATCTATTCTCGTGCGGAACGAGGCTCGCGCTAGAGTGTAGGCGACACTTTAAACACCGCCATGGTTGGATGGTGCGGTGATACATCGTCTTGGCCGGTCTGCCAAGTAGAGTCTGGGTAGCTTGGACACATACCCCACTTGAGACAGTAGATCGCTGGTTCGAATCCGGCAAAACACAATCACATTTCTCGCGGTGCTGGTGTACATGGATGACGAAGGCATGCTTGGATGACCAAAGGTTTCGAAATTACCTTTGGTGGGTACTTATGGAGAAGGGTCGACTGTTTGTGTAAGCGAACATACCTCATAGTGGTATTTGCGAATGAAATCCAGAGTATGAGTGTCTCTAACGCCAGAAGAGTCATCCAACATGTATACATAGCACCGTTCATGTGTCATAGCTAGATAGCTGAATACACATTAAATGATTTAAAAAAAAAGGCTCGCGCTATGGCTCAATTGAGCACAAGGATTATTCTTGCAAGCAGCCCACAACGAGATGTATCAACTGCCACGGGCCTCACACAGCTATTGACCTAAAAAGCATGGCCCAGCCAACACAAGTCGGCGGAAAATCCGTGCAGCGCACAAAAAACTAGTTGTCAGCAATCCGAGAGCAGGGACTTGAAGAAAGAATTGCTTCGATCCGAGAATTCGAAGCTAAGTAGAAAGCCGCCGAGACCACTACCGAAAACAAACCTTCAACCGCTTCTCAATGCTCGTTCGAGACCACAACTTTGAAGAGCTGGACAACCCGGCAACAACGATAAAGTTCCTCTGCGCTAATTTGGGCAGGAGATCCCGCTACGGACATCACCCTGCAACCAGCTTGAGATTGAGGAAACGAAGTTCTACTTATCCAGGAACCCTGGATTCAACTTAAATACGGCATTTGGCTCACAAAGTCGTATCCCACTTTCGAAAAGCATATGCCGCTTCGTGCCGCTGGAAATTTCGCAAGGCCTCGCTCTCTTATTTACTCACGAAAGGGGAATAAGTGCCATCAACAGGTAATCTGCGAGGCATCGCCAGATATTACCGTAGTAACAGTAGAAGGGATCACATTTGTATCCATATACCGCACACCAGGAGCAGACCTTCTTCCGTTGCTAGCATGGGCTCTATCGGGACCTTCAGTAGTTGGCGGTGATCTCAACGTAGCTCACCCTGAATGGCAACCAATTGCAACAAGACTACACGGAGATAGCCAAGTTCTCATTGACTAGAAGCGCGAGCATGATATGGACTTCAAGACAATTCCAGGCATACCGACTCAAGATCATGAAACACGCTCGATGTGACGGCTTTTTTTTTTTTATATACATACGGTCCTAAGCTAAAGCTAAGTTTTCCACATTGGGTCAAGGACCGGCGGATCCGGCAGGGTTCCCTGTAACTTTTCCTACAGCCTAACTCGTTCCAACCTCGTGAATCGCTACCAAAAGTGCAGCTGATTGAACAAGAACGAAAAGTCACAAAAATCAAAACAACTCCGAATACCAGAAGATTCCTCCATATTGGACCCAGTAAATGCGCTCCTCACACATTCCCTCGTCTGTCACACCTTCCAAATGACAGAATTTATTCAATCTCCGCTGAGAGCAAGAGATGAGTTAGCAGGCACCTTTGATCCGGCCGGTATCCTGCTATTGGTTAGTAGATGCCCCAAAAGGGGACATCGTCGAGGTTGCTGTGTCCTCAAACTTCTTCTTCAGATCCCAGAGCTCCGAAACCTGTTGCCTCGGCCATCGAGACATCCTTCCCGCGGCGATGATCGCCTCTTCGACCTTTTTTGCTGCAGCCCTGGCTCGTGCCACCTTCGCGAACTCCCCTTGTTCGATGTGGCGAATCCACGCGAGCTGCTCTTTGGTCACCGGTCCGGATTTTTTTGGTCTGACTTAGCAGGCCCGAGAATCCGATCGGTGAGGTCCCCCACAGTTGCGACAGCGTGTGAGGGCCTTGCACTCTGTTTCGGAGTGCATATTTGATCCGCAGTTCTAGCAAGCCGGAGCGCGGGAGCAACCACGGGTGGCGTGGAAGCCCAAACAGCGTTTGCACTGTTCAATTGATCGACGAGGCTTATGGATGGTAGCCATACCCGAATCGTCGAAAAGGCGGAAGCCCGCACGAGGGGCTTCGTCCCGGTGAAAAAGGGCATGCCAGTTTCGATAAGGCGATCCAGGCCGACATGTCCCATGAGGTCGGACCTGGATTGGATACGCGCTGGTCGTAAGGAAGATCTCAGCGGTGACACTTGCAGCATCGGTAGCTACGGGGCCGTACTGTGAAAAGATACTTACAGGTACGTTCGGTATCTGTAAGGCGACAAGATCCGAAGATGCTTCGAGTTTGGCGTTTTCACTTGCCAGCTTCGGAGAGACATCTAGGATCTCTTGTCGTATTTTTTCGTTCTTTGCTATAATAGCAAAGTCGGTCTTTACTCGATGAATCGAGGTTATATCATTGTAATAGAGATTAAGCGTGTCCGCTACCTCACTTTTCACAATGTTGTTTGAAAGATTCCGCCATGGGTGCTCCTTTCCCAGGCGAAGGAACAGTCGCTTATCGACTTTCGCCTTGGGAACTTCTTTCTTTTGGGCTCTCGCCGCAGGTCGCGGCACAGCCTTTGCTATAGGAGCTGCATTTTGTCGCAGTCCATTTTTGGCCACCGTGGCACAGGTGCTTTTTACAGGCAGCACTGGGCCGGCGGGAGTTGTATTGCTCCTGGCTTCTGGAGCCCTTGGGGTCGGGTTCGCAGGGCGAGGAGGGAGGTCGGGTGGCGTGATGGCCGGGCCCGTGGCCATGTATTGCGCAATGGCGGCGCGTAAGTAGACTCGCATCGAGTCTACGAATTGTCTATTTGACCCGTTGGTCAAAGGGAGGAGGGTGGCTTCGACGCCAGAGATGGCGGCGGAACAGAGGTCCAGATTTGCCGCTGTTTCGGCGGCGCGTCGTTGTTCAGCTTCGACAATTGGTCGAAGCTCTAGGGGACACTCTGCTTTTGTGGCAGCTTTTGGCCGCGACGTTGATTTTGGCGCTGCTTTGACTGCAGCGTTTTTCGACGGTTTTGACGCTGTCGGATGAGATTTTGACGATTCTCCAGTCCCGTGAGGGACGGAGGGTGGTTGAGGAATTTCCTCAACAGTTTCAACTGACCCGATCCTGTCAGTATCGGGTTCAGCGACGGCAGGGAGGGCTTTTTCCTTCCCTTTGATGGAGACCTTGCTCATCTCCGCGCATTTCGGAGACTGGACAAGGTCAGGTAATTGTTCGAGAGCCCTCGGGTGGACTCTCGTGTTGTCCAACTTGGCGTTGGGACGCTTTTTGCGAACTGGAGGCATGGTGAAAATGCCTGAGCTCGATCACAATTCAGATATGGATGCGACGAGGTCGAGAAGGGAGGAAAGAGGGAAAAAATGAATTTTCGAATTTTCGAATTTCTCGAATTGTGCGTTTTTGATGTGACGGCTTGTGAGCCGATAAGTCCTGTAGCCCCTTTTTTTTCAGATTTTAATTGCGTATGCAGCTATCTAGCTATGACACAATATCAAAGAAAAGTTCAGAAAAGATGACTCAATTTACAAGATGAGCACTCATGCCTCGGATTTCATTCGCAAGTACCACTGCGAAATTATGGCGGCTTTTTCTTCACCCCAAGTCAACCCTCATCCGTGAATATCCATCCAAGGGAACGTCTCAAAAACCCCGAGTTATCCAGACATGCCTCCATCATCTTTCAACTTTTGTCCGCGCAAAATGTGATATGAGATATCTCCTTCCCAAGTGGAGTAGGTGCCTAGGCTACCCAAACTATACCAGAGAACACCACCAGGAGGCGGACCACAACACCTTCCATCGTTTGCTTGTTTTTATAGTGTCAACTGCACTCTCGCAAGCGAAGTCTTGGCGCGCACAAAGCCCAATTCATAAAACTCTTTCCAAATTTCGATTTTTTAAGCCCGTCTAAAACGTATCCCTCTTCTGCATCATCTTGTAAACTTGTCCTGATCCCTCTCACGTCCATCCCAAAGAGCTATCTCCCAGATTTGTGCACACGCTTTGCTCCCTGTTGCGGGTGTAAATATCGGTGTGGGCGTGTATTTGGTGACAAGCTAAGGCTAGAAAAAGCCGACGAGAGGCGTAGTCATTTGAATGAGGATGTACCAGGTCGTACTTGTAGACTCGAGACGTAGGAGTCGATCTCGTTGGAAGTGAAAAATTGACATGGAGTATTTTGAATCATTGCGTCGAGGGCCAACTTCTTTGATATTGCGACATTTGACTGAACTTGGGTCTGGGAGAATACTTCACCCCCATTTTTGTAGAGGACAGCGCGTTCAGTTGCTCAGTCTTGCCCTCCAGCTGGGGATATGTAGTATACCAAGGAGGCAAGCTAGCCGGAAGAGGCTCGGATCCACTTCCGGGAACAAAGGTCTTTGATGCCGAAGTTGCAGGCGCCATGAGAGCCTTGGAAGCTGCAATAGTCGTGGGAGAAAGCTTACCGACCTACATTCTTCTGGATAATCAAGCGGCTGCACTTGCGCGCGAAAGAGGTGTTGAGACATGACATATCTTGGAATGCCAAGAGTAACATATTTGTAGGTCTGGCTGATTAGACTAGCATATTCCCCATTCTACATCAGTGTTATCAATAAATCCTGCGCTGAAAGTTTAATGCGCAATGGTATGAGCGTTACACTTGCATTCGAGTGGACGACTGTGTCCCGAGTGCAGGTTAAAGGATAATTAGACCTATTAGCCGCCACGCATGTATTTAGCTTTCTATTCCTGGCTTACACATCTGTATGTATATAAATCTACATCTACAGGGGCCATAACCTTTGATCCATGGAGATTGATAAAAACTGGTCAAAATCACAGTTGATAAAAATGTGCAAACGTTATCCCGCTCTTTTATCATATAAGTTTACTCAGAACTGTACATCCCAGTACAGTCATTTTCGCAAAAATCTTCCTGTCTATAGCCTCAGCCAGGCCCAGTGGAGTAGATCAAAATCTACCCTTTGCGGCATGAGGGAGATGGGTTAAACAGCGTGGCCAAGAGATTGCGGAAGAGTGGTGGTAGAAGTATCGGCCGAACGATACAAAGACCTAGACCTCTTCGTGCGCTGTAAACAGCCACAGGAAATGGCTCTACCAAGATGGGCGTACCACCGTCTAACTCCGGAAAGGATTGGCCACGGGGACTACGCCGACTACCATCGACTTTTCAACCCAGAACATGAAGATCTGAAATGCGTTTGCGGCTGAGAGAAAAGGCCCTGACGGTTTTTAGAATGCCGACCTGCTTTGCAGCGTTGGAGATGTTGTGAGAAAATGGCTCCGCCTGGGGCCAGGGAAATGATAGGGGAGAAGAGATGTCATGAATTTTTCAATTCCTAACTACAAGCAGATGTTACAGTTTACCGAATAATGAACAGGGTGGGAGGTGACTACGCTGAGATTGTTTCTGACTCGAGAGGAGGTGTTTTAAGAAGATAGAGATGCGACACAGGGCACTGTAACTCAGACATTTGCTGTAATTTTTTCATTTCTTTTGTCGCTTCTAGCTTTATTGCCGGTCATGTAGGTAGCAATGAGCACTCAGAGCCTATCTACCCGTTTCACTTCTGAATAGATGTTGGGTCCTTCCTGTCACGTAAAAGATTTCAATTTCAGACTCACTGTAGCTATGAATCCTATCGTCTTCTAAGAACAAGAACAAAAGAACCAGTTCACAAGATACCACCACTCTTTACGTAAATAATACAACCGATTGTGAAGCTATCCCGTAGTCATTCCAAGAACTTTAAATTTTTAAATTTATTACCCATTAGTCTCAATATATTTCTATCCCAGCCCCCTATTTGCTGATTTATAGAGATAAAATAAATGTTTAGCCACTTAACAGTTGTTTAACTCCTATCAAGTAGTGCTAGCATTTAAAGTACTCTATGGCGCTTTCAAATTTGTTTTCCTATGCGGAATTAGATATACTATTACACAAATATAAGTCATAATTTGTTGGCAAGTCGGTAGAAATCTAGCTTGAGAGCCTATTTCCTTCATTTGATTTCCATTTTGACTCACAGGACTCTAGTGTTAACGATTTATTGTTTTTAATAAAGATGAATTGCGTCATGCAAATGTTAGAACTAACATGTGAGGAACAAAAATAAAATCGGTTGTGGCCGATCGAAGGCGTCATGCAACAGCTGAAATTGGCGCATGGACCCGAATTGATTTTTTTGAAACTAGATTAATAAAAGTAATATACTTTTTTCAGTTTAATGCTAGAAGAAACACCTTTTACCATTATTTTATACTGCCTTCATGACTTGACGTTTAATACAGGAGTGTGAACGTGGCGTACCAGGGTCTGCCTGGCAGAACTCAAAGTCTAGAAGCTCGATAATTGATCTGTTTTTGTCTAGAGGTTCCAAATAATTGTGATAGGAAATAAATCTGACCTATGCAGAATTTTTCTTTAATTTTTAGCCTTTTTGAGCTATTGGCCTTCAGGCTTTACTCATATACATTTCATGATTCTCAACGCCGGTTTCCTCAGAAATTGATTCCCTTGCGCCATTTCTTCGCTCCAGTAGCAAAGATGCCATTCCCATGACTACCTGCTTTTCTTTCTCATGATTTGATTCATCTTCATCTTCATCATCATCACTACTACTATCATCTGGTAGATCCGGTTCAACTATACTTGGACTTCCAATAGTTTTGTGTTTTTTTTCAAAATCTTGTGTATGAGCGTCGGCCATAATTTTCGTAAAACCCCGCCGTATATAATTACTGCCGTTCGAGCGGGATGCTTCCAGAGTCTCCACAGCTGTTGATTCGCCAATATGATCTACTGCAGTTTCCTCTGTCTCATCTATGTTGGCTAGTTCGCCGCAAGTTATATATGGTAGAGGTACATCGCGGGAGGCCTTGACACGAGCAACGTTTGAACAATGCTCATTTTCGACCCGAAAAATAACCCATATACCTCGACGCGTCACTTCAGATAAAGCTACAAGAAATGTTGCTAGTGTACTATGACCCAGAATATCAGTGTATATAGTGTAAATGATCCAGTTGAATCTCAAGATAGGATTTAGAATCATTGCTGCATAATACCACCATACACTCTTGTATCCACGAACGTTACGAAGGAAACGATTTTTGGCATTCGGTTGTAGCAGGGACCAATCCATCAAGACATCCCATACTGAAACGTAAATTGAATTGAGAATGGCGACAACTAGAAAAAAGGCAAGTCTAGACTTTGAATGGTTAATTCTGTAGAGTGAGAGACCAGTGTAGAATGCAACAGTCGAAAAATATTTTCCACAGTTGACCAGGTGAGGGAATACGTCGCGGGTGTCATAGTATCGTCTTAAGCACTGTAAAGCGCGCCATAAACCCGGAATGATAGTGAAAAATCCAAGAAGATGAGAATGAGAAGAGCCACATTTCCAAGTGTTATCAGTCCAGTGGCGTGAGTATAAACAAAAAAATAACTCGATATTCTACACGATTATAAGAATTCAGTCGTCTAAAAATTTAAAAAAAGAACTTACAGCCATAGAATAGGTGAGCGAGCAGTACATATCTCCTAGAAAGAAATCCCGAAATTCTACTGGATAAAATCCAGCTAATAGTAGGCGCCACTATGTAAAATTAGATATTTGAGCTTTGAGAACCTTGGATGACTTACATGTGAGTATGCAAACCATTTTCTGCCTCGATGAAATATGATTGGTGCAGGTAGAAATATTAGAAGAACCGTGAAAAATATAAGTAAGACAGGATAATATATATACATCACTTGACTACCGACTCCAGAGAAATTGAGCCAGAGAAATGAACCCATCAATGTGAGTAAGACAGAAGGAAATTCTGCCAATTCTCTCCAATCCACCGTGCATCTGGGATCGAATTCGAACACAAACTGGTAATTGATTCTATTTCGTGTCCAAATACAGCAATCTACACAAAAAAATGCGAAAAGGTATAATATGAGAAAATAGCCTGCATATATTTGCAGCAAGAAACCTGTTTGTGTCCGGATAAGTGGATCTGGACTTCTAGTCATAGTCTGTGCCGATATCACTCCTTGTATAGAAAAAACGGTTCCAATTCCAAACAGGAGACCATTCCGGAACGCGTGTGCTGATTCATAAGCTCGTCGTGCTAATGATCTTCTCAACTTTCCATAAGCAACTTTGTGGTGGCCATGTTCGAAATATTTAGCGTAAAGATCTATGGCAGAATGGATTTGTGTATCGAGCTCTTGACTCTGCACAAACCAAGCACGATTTACTTTCTCGGATAAATTAAACAGGCGATGTGGTGCATCAACAGCCTTGGTATATTTTTTTTGTATTTTTTTAAAGGCGGTACAATTAAGTAATGCATATGACTTTAATAACTCCATGCCTCGGTACGACTCAAGAAGTGCACGCTTTAATTTTCTTTTCGCTGTACGATATGGAACATTACCAGAAAATTGTGGCCTTTTTAGGGTTTCAGCGTTAGTCTCTATCCCAGCTTTCGAATCTGGATGGCTGTAAGAGGGATTATTCGGATCCTGGGGTGCCTTTGGGTTCGCACGAAGCCTTGTACCAGATAGGAGTAGTCTTGCTCCTCCGATTACTTTCCCAATTGGGTCAAGCAATGCCCCAAGCCGACCTCGAGATTTGGATGACATTGGTTTTCTCTCCGCTGATGAATTTTTCGAAAGTTTGCCAGATTTATCATCACTAGCAACGTCCTGACTGAAGGCACTAAGGTTTCGCGCCCGAGCTAGTTCGTATATTCTTCGGGTTTCCATCTCACACAGCTGTATCCTTAAGACCGAGAGAAGAGCATTTGCTTCCTGTTCCTTGGCTTTATAAAATGTCTCAACTTTCTCCAGCTCTAATTCCATCCACTTGAAAAATTCGTTTTGCCGATGCCGTAGAAGATCATGTGCACCAATGTCTGCGTCTGTCCGACGAGACTCGGATATGGAAAGTGGTGCCCCTACAGAAAACATTGTGCTAAGAAACGACTTTGGACTATCTGGCATCCGACTTCTGAAGTTGTAAAATTTTCCATCCTCTCCCGTTGGTGAATTGTAGGGTCCTTGCGGATACATGATAAGTGTTGTAGTCTTTACATCTCCGAAAGACGAAGTCCTAGAATGAGCTCCTGCTTTATAATTTGATAAGTTTCTTGGATGAAGATAGTCTGTTGTGCTTCTTTCCAGCGCTTTTCGATTTGGATCTGCATCTCGAACATCATGATTTATATTTTTCTCTACAGGACTGCTTATGACAATATTTCCTTGTACGGGAGGGCATGTAGAGCTTGGAAATGATCTAACGGGCGGGGAGGTTAGGGGAGATATCATTTTCTGGATCTTGGGTTGGTCCTCCGCCCCATTATGGCTCGTTGGACCAATATTAAAATCATCGAGAGTTTGAAATAATGAAGGGTGCTGGTGAGTTGGTGAAAATGAGGATGCGGTATTACTCCTGTTCCTTTCAATCGGATAGGGATGTGCTGATCGCGGAGTTACATTTAGACGATTTATAGCTCGCGATATTCCTTTGATATGTTGCTTGCCGGCTTTGTAATCGACATATTTGACACGCCATTCTGTTATAACATTAGGATTTATATTAGATCGGTAAGTGAGTAGGTAGATGGGATTATTGATTACCTGGAACAAGATCCCGATCTAGTTCGAGGGCAAACTTCATTATTGATAAGGCTGACGAAGGCAGGGCTACTGCTGCCTATGAGGGTGGCCCAACACCAGAATCTTAGGAGCATGTAGTCCGCATGAATATCTACCCAAATTCATGCCAATGAAACATCTGTGAATTTACAAACATAACACAAGATACTAATGGTGGGAAGGTACACATCTTAACTTTTGATGGTCAGCTCTTCAACTGAGCCTCACGTGGCTTTTCCAATACCATGGACCAACTGGCAGGACCCTCGCGCTAACTGGTCTTGGTAACGATGGACAACGCATAGACAATAAATCCGCCTTCGAATGGTCGGAGCAAGCGTTTGTGACGTCTCGAGCTTAACACCTACCTCAAATCATGGAGTGGCCCCTCCTCCCCACCATATTTGTCTATAATCATACTTTTGCCGGTTACAAGAAAGTCTCCACTATTATCAAGGAACTTTGAAGCTATGAAACATGGCATTGAAACGGCAAGAATATTTATCACGCAATCAGTAAGGCACAACCTTGACCAATCTGTTAACAGACTGGAATCATCCAAAAATGCGACCTAAATTTCCAATCATAATAATGCGAGCAATATTTCACGTTTCAATTCTAAAATTTAGAAAAATGTACAGGACCCATGGTAAGTGCGAAAAGTCTATACAGGATGTGCTTCGACATTCAGGATGATTCAACACCTGACCACAGCGTACCAAAGGGGCTTTCAATTCTTCTTAGGGGACCCCCCGAGCTATTATCGAGTCATTCAAAATTTTAGCTCCCCCCATAGCAATCTCTCATCCCTTTCATTCTCCATGATGAAAAATTTGACGTAAATGACGTTTAGGGCGACCAGTTCGACTTTAGCATTGACCATCAAAAATACCTTGCAGAAGCTACATGGCATAAAATTATTTCCAATTCTATGTAAATCCGAAATCACATAGAATATTTATCCATAGCAAAATATTCGATTTGCAAGATGCGCTTCGAGACTAGGTCGTCTTCGCAGCATTAAATCTGGAATAATTCGTTACTAGCGTTACATAAACTACTACCAATGAGCTCTGATCATTGATAAGCCGAGATCTTTATCCCAACAGATGCTAATTAGTTCACTAAGCTACCGCATGCCTTTGAATAATCTTTTGTGAGTGTTATTTAGTACCGAGTCAGTGATACCCATTAGGCCCTTGATATTAATATTGATTGGTAAGTTGTGAGGGTATCAACCATTGAAACTAATCGTGTTTAAGTGTCAAGTAAGGCATATTCTGAGAGACAATGATGCCCCTGTCATGCAGGTAGAGACTCTTAGTGCTTTACAGTATTATACTCAGACAGAAACTTAACTACCATGTTCTCACTCATTTATTGATCCATACAAATATATGAATTAATAATTGTTCGTTCTCTTAATTTTGATGAAACTATTATGAATAGACTTACAACCAAACAACTGTTCATGTATACGTTTGGTGGACAATAGGCAGTGATAGGAAGTTTTAGATTTTATTCCTACATCTAATTGTTTTAGATTTGACGCTCTCAATCGAGATCCCATATTCCACAGCGTACAGTAATCTATCATTCAGCGTACGGGGGTCAATGACTAAGCACCTATCTGCGGTGTCCTCTACTAATGTAGGAGTGAAATCTTTACCGGAGCCAAGTTCAGACAAATTTCGCAATGTCGAGAAAACTTGACCCACGAAACATCTATCAAATGCTCCCATCCTAATTAGAGTTCCCCTACCAAAATTCATCAAGTCTACACTTACAATCTAGAACATACTAATTTCTGTGAATGCACCTCTCGTCAATCCAGTCTCTGGCCTCCGCTGGCCGCCAAATATGGGCCCACACAGTGTTACTCTTCGATAGAAAAAAAATTCGGGATGCACAAATATCTGACGCATATCTTGGAGGTGATCGTAAGAGATTTCATGACAGAAAGACAAAACGATACTAAGTATAAATACAAATTTTGAAGCAGTTTTTTACATTGATGAATAGGAGTTATGCGCGTTCGATCGAGAGATCGTAGACTAAAGTACAAACACAGCTATGGCTGGATAGTGCAATGGTACATCATTTGTGCTAGTATCTCATGGATTGGAGAGCTTTGACACCTATCTCAAATGAGACAGGAGATCAGTGGTTCGAGTCAGCAAGGCTGAATCATATTTCTCGTAGTGCTAGTGTGCATTGATGACGAAAGCATGCTCGGATAATCACGGAGAAAGGTCGTCTGTTTGTGTAAGCAAACATTCCTCATAGTGGTATCTGCAAGTGAAATCAAAAGTATGAGTGCCTCTAACGTCAAAAGAGTCATCCAACGTGTATACATAGCACCGATCATGTGTCATAGCAAGATATCTGCATACACATTAAAAGATAAAAAAAAGATATAGAACTAGTATCATAAATATTATCGTCTTCATGCCTTCAGTTGGATATATTCGACTTGGAAATGATCCTTAATCCCGTCGTCAACTCTCACGAAATCAAAAGAGTCTGTAATTATAAGACCGAGGCCAAGATTTATTATATTATAGATTGATACTTCTTTTAAATCTTGTGACAAAGATGACGCTAGGCGAGGAAGAAAATATTAATGTTCAAGATTCTATATCAATAGCCTGGCTAACTAACATTGTATGCAGTCTCTATATCCGAAATTCAAGCATGCAGAAATTTTGTTGACGAGAATTCCAAGGCAATTAATGTTCTTGGCGGAGGGTAAAGACTGAACACCTGTACGTGGTGTCCTCTATGAAAATGGAGGTGCAATATTCTCCCAGAGCCAAGTTCAGTCAAATTTTGCGATATCTAAGAAGTTGGCCCTCGAGGCAATGATTCAAATAACTCCACCACGTCAAATTCTCACTCCCAAAAAGATCGAACCCTGCCTAAGCCTCATCAAGTCCACAAGACCTAGTACATCCTCATTTCTATGACCACGCCTCTCGTTGGCTTTCTCCAGCTTTAGCTGGTCACCAAATACACGCCCACACCGATACTTACACCCGCAACAGGGAGCAAAGCGTGGCGCACAAATCTGGGAGATAGCTCTTTGGGTTGAACGTGAGTGGCACCAGGAGAAGTTTACAAGATGATACGGAGAATGGATTAATCTTGACGGACGTGTGATTTTGAATTTTTGAAAAGAGTTTCACGAATTGATATTTGTGCGCGCCATAACATTGCTTGCGAGAGTGCAGCTGACACTATGAAAACAAGCAAACGATGGAAGGTGCCGTGGTCCGCCTCCTGGTGGTGATCTCTGGTATAGTTTGGGTAGCCTGTGCACCTACTCCGCTTGGGAAGGAGATATCTCATATCACATTTTGCGCGGACAAAAGTTGAAAGATGATGGAGGCATGTCTGGATAACTCGGGGTTTTTGAGACGTTCCCTTGGGTGGGTATTCACGGATGAGGGTTGACTTGGGGTGAAGAAAAGGCCGCCATTACTTTGCAGTGGTACTTGCAAATGAAATCCAAGGCATGAGTGCTCTTCCTTCACATTGAGTCATCTATTATGTACCTTTCTTTGATATTATGTCGTAGCTGGATAGCTGCAAACGCAATTAAAATCTGATGCAAAAAAATTTCTTGGCCCACTGAGTCTATAAAGCTCCAAGTATCACTTCTACTCGCAAAAGTCAGTTTGCTCAGAAAGGCATCTAAACCAAAATATATTCACCGATACTTGTATTTGCTACGACACTTGAAAATCCAAATAGGGTTAGGGAGGATTATATTGCATCCTTCAGAAGGTGGGGCAATAGCTATTGACTGTATGAGCTCTAGAAAAAGAGAATGGTATTTGGAGATTTGGGTGAATTATATCAAGTAGCTAACATGCGTAATAAGCATCATTTGAATAACTGCAAAGACGAGATGATGATAGTTTTTCGGCTTTACCAATTATAGTTTCACATGAAGACCCATGGACATATGACTTGCAGATAAGAGTCATAAATTGAGGGTCAGAAGGAGTAGAATAATATGAAGCTTTGATATCTTATCTCTGTTTGCCGAAAAAATCGTGATGTCCTACAGGGCTACAGGTAAGGAAAGGGCTGAACATGAAGAGCCAAAGCACGATAAAATATGAAGTCGGTAAACGACAGAGCCTTCTCCAATTTTTTACCAGCTTCTAAAATATTCACTTTGTGTATCTTCATTGTACTACGTAAGTCATAAACTATCCAACCCACAGGGCTCATCTCTGACCCAGGCAACAATTTCGAGGTGCTGCTATCCTCATTTTCCATGAAGTAATATCTGAGATGCAATGCCTCTGGTGGAGAGCCGTTCAGCACAACATTTACTCGCAGAACTCAACATCCTTCTCTACACAACCTTCGACCCAAAAAATGGTATCAATGGAAATAGTGTGCGCGGGAAAGTTTTTAGGAGAATCTGTAGCACTAGTCACGCGAGATGCGTAAATCCATGAGTATCTCTCTTCCTCGTACGTAAATAGACCAGCTTTATCCAACTTATTACCGCCGCATTGTGAGCTAGGCATACTCTGGAAACTCATCGGATGGCTTCTCCTCCATGATTGAGGGTGGGCGATGATCAGGATTGGACCCTAGCATCTGATGTGATTGTGATAAGCTTCATGAAAATGAAACTAGGAAGGTATGCGGAGAGATGAATGCAATGCAGTTTATCAGTATATTTGGGAAACCTCATCGAAGTAAGAACGACGATGCCACTCAGTGTTGGCCGTGCCGCATCTCCAGCCTCCGCAGTGAGAGCTGGAGATTCGTAGGGAATATTGCTGATAGATGTTGAGTTTTGATCCCCTACGTGGCCTGTTTGCTAGCCCCAATTGTTCAGATACCCAACAGAAATGGATATAATTGCTGGTAGTAGCACTCGTATTATTATTAAAAATTTTCGCGATTCTTCTCCCTCTACTATGCTTGACAACTTATGCCTCATTAGGAATAATGTGGTGCCTGATGCGCAGGTTACAGGTCCCGCAAGTCACGTTGGCT